GGCACATGCACACGAAGATGCCGTGGCTGGTGAGCTGACCCTGTGGGTTCACGGCCACGTTCACAGCCATGCTCATGTCTCCAGAGGGGAAATTACAGGTAGGAAACCAGTGAAACCACCTCTCCTTGCTGAGCTCCTAAATGTCCCTGAACAGAGTGTCTGTGTGTCCCTTGCCTCACCGAGCAAACACACGTGTGACCCCCCTCCCCGCCGTCTCGGTGCCACACCCCGTTCTTCCCACACGGACCCCGAGGGACTGTGCCCGTCACCACCCCCAGGCGACTGTGAAGGGGAGGGGCACAGAGTCTGAGGTGCATGTTCTGGGACAGCCCCTCTTGGAAACCTGTGTGTGCAGAGGCTTGGAGGGCCCCTTCTGGGCGCCGCTGGGGGACGCCCCTCCTCCTGTGACTTCGAAGGGTGGGGGAGGGGACCCAGAGAAAGACTCCGATTGATTCATGTCGTTTCCAAACTTTAACTTAGTTGCCCTTAACAAACTTAGTTGCCCCCTTAACTAGTTGTCCTCTACTGTCGGGTCTACAAAGTATCTGCCACAAAAACCTTTCACACAGAAAGACAGGGAGTCACATGGACATTGACCATGTAACCATGGTAACCCACAAATGCCACCAATGTGTTTGTTTCATTCACAAATGAGGGGACAGCTGTGGAGTCCGCTTGTCTGCCAGTGTCAGAATCAACGGGAGCGAGGACGGCCCGGGTCAGAAAGTTCCACCTCCCCTGTCTTCCTCAGAGCTTTCAAGTGCCGTCCCGACTGCTGCGTGACAAGGACTGACCAAGCAGCCCCGGTGAGCCCTCGGGGTTCAGAACCAGTGTCCTCGGTCTAGGCGGGCTGCCCCGGTTGGAGGCGCCAGGGGTCCCACGGGCATCACCCCTAGTTGGGGCCCAGTCTCTGTGCCTCTCAGGGGTGACTGTAGGGGTTTTAAGGGAGAGGGATCCGTTCAAGTTCACCGTGTTGGTTGGCTGTGGTCTGGGAGGCACGGCTCCCGCACACTCGGAGCAGCCTCACCGACCCTGGTAGCCAGTTCTTCCTGCCCACGCCACCAACCCTGTCGCTTTAGGACAGTGCTCCAAGATGGCCTCGCCGTGATTAGGGGACACCTTGCTCACCCACCCGACGACGGATGAACGCGCTGATAACTGCCTACCTTTGGCAGCCCATTCAAAAATACTCAGAGTGGAAAGCAGAACACGTAAGCCGGTGTCCTGTTCCTTTCCAAAAACTCTGTTGAAACCAGAGTTCGAGGTTCTACCGCCGTAAAGTCTGGAGCTATGCTCTGTGTGATGACAGCGAACCGTTTGTTATGTGTTTGTCTATGTTTGGGGACTCGGGGGACATGCCCTGTCCTGACATCACATCAGGTGAAGGGCCATGTGCCGAAATGAGAACATTCACAGAGCAGCCCGTGTTCAAGGAGGCTCGGAGAACCAGTGGTCCCTCGGCCGCCGAAAAGCTGAATTTCACGGACAGGTTCACTTCTGTCTCTGTTCTACGCTTTGAGCCAAAAAAAAAAAAGGAAAAGAAAGACAATACATGTTTTCCTGAATTCATCTATATAATTATACTTTCATCTTGAATAAAATATTAATCAAAGCTCTGTTCATGAGTTGAAGATACTTCCATTGTTCCCAGAAACCAAAATATCTTTCTAAAACGGAATAGGCTTTATCTCCAGATTGGCTTAGCCCAAAATAGATGTTCAGCATAATAATTCATAATTTCGAAAATTAAATACAATATTTGAGCAAACCTTGCACTAGGGCTCCGGGGGATCATTCGGAGAATTGTCATTTCGTAGCTTAAAAATAAATGATAAAAACATTACGAAAATGTAGTCAAAAGCCGCACCCAGGCCCCATAATGTATCATATTTTATTTACAGCTGATGGCTTATTTATGGTGAGATACGAGCCCACGGTTCTGTTTATTTATAGTCACACCCAGCCGGTGTGGGAGGCAGCGATGTCAATCCTGTAGGGCAGGTTTCCTTTCGTCCCGACTGGGCATGTGATGTCACGGCTGTGGAATGCGTGGCGGTACCCCCAGCTGTTCAGGTCAAGGACCTCCCAAGGCGCCGCCAGAGAGGGACCCATAGGGGCTGTCCCCTCGTTCTGGGGGGACCCCAGACACTGCCCAGAACTACCCGTGTCACTGTTTGGAACCAGAGTCTTTGGCAGGAGCAGGTCTCAGACTTTGGTCAGAGGGGTGAGCCGTGGCGAACACGCCCTTGACCACTGGTCTTCACCAAGCACTGAGTACCACCCTCCCTTCCACGAGCCTCACAGAAAGAAGACTGCACACTGGGCCGGTCCAGGCCAGAGAGAAGTTCTCACAAACTGGTTATGTTAAAAAGTCATAAGGTGGGTCTAAAAAAATCTCTAGGTGACAACTTGACAATACAGTGGCGTTTAACCTAGTTCTGAGACATGGACCGTGTTATACGGCGGTTCTTCACATCGCGACGATGCCGGCACCTGGGCCTGCGTCACGTAGGAGTGGATTGTGACCGTGGGCTGGATTCTGGCTTCTCAATACTGCCGACCGGAAGGTAACCGTGGCCTTCACGCTTTCTTACTTAAATGTGACTCGACTGGTGTTTCTCCTCCTGGGAAACTGTCGCCTTGTGTGTAGAAGTCACCGCCGCGGCGGAGAGGTCTGGGGGAAACCTGGAGCAGAGCGGAGGGGCCTCTGCGGCCCGCCCGCCCCACAGACACTGAGCCCTCCAAACAGTGTGGTCCTTTTTGGGGTTGTATTTTAATGTCCCTTTCAGTGAGTATGTAGGATCCAGGGGCGAACACTGTTCCGTGAGTAGGTTCTCTCTCCCTTCAGTGGGGCTGGAGACGGACAGAAGGGGAGGCCCCTGGGTGGGGCTCCCAGGAGGCCCGCACGCACCCTGCCACCTGTCCCGAGGCCCCACGACGCCGGGGGTGGGGTGAGTGGCGCCGCCATCTGCTCGCTGAGGTCCCACGGGGCAGAAATCTCCCTGCTTGGGGTCCATTCCACAGCAGCCTGCCTGGTCACTGTCTACCTCTCTGGCGCCAAGGAAGCCCGTGGGAAGCTGGTCTGCAGGCCCACAGCTTTGCGGCCTGAACCACCCCAGTAACGCTGACCGCCCGCTGGGCAGCGGGCCGTCTAGTGCGAGTTCGCGTCGCTCAGCTGCGGCTCTCTCCCCACTGCTGTCGGCCTCGGAGGACGGGCGGCACATGGAGCAGGACGGGAAATTAGTAAAAGGGAAAAAAAACCTAAAAGTTGAGGGGTTGGTTCAGAAATCATCTGGAACCGTCCGAAGAGGGTGGAAGTTGCCACCTGCCTCGCGTTCCTCAGCGGCTCTGTGCTGCCAGGGGCAGGGTGGGCCCACGGCTCTCGGGGACCGGGCTCCCCAGTGAAGGTGTCCCGAGCCTGGCGTCCCAGCCAGAGTCGCTCACACTGTGTCTCTATCCCCTTCTCTGAAGGTCTGTTGTGGACAGCAGCCTCTACGTTCCCTCCTGTGAATGGACGGGCCCCACATCTGCCGGGAGTCGCTCACGTCTGCCTGCAAATCGGAGGCTGGGGGACACACAGGGCCCTGGAGCCAGCTCCCCACTGTCACCCAAGACTGATCCTGACCTGGGCACCTTCCTGAACTTTCCACTCCCCCAGTCCTCGCTCTGGAAAAGGGAGTCAGGAACAGATCCAAGTCAGGTTCGAGGTTTAGACGGTTGTGTCCTACCAAAGCGCATGGCAAGACAACACCCACGTCTCTCAGAAAAGCCTGCAGGCAAAACCCCAAGTCAGCAAGACCTGCTCCCGCCGGAGTCCCACTTCTCCTTTGTAGTCCGGGTCTGGGAATGGAAACGCTAGTGTGGCCTGAGGTTTAGGGAAGGGCCGTTCCCCTGGACTCCTGGCCTTTGCCTGCGCCCTTCCAGCCCCTCACAGGCAAACCACTCCCGTGCCCCAAACCACTCCGCGCCCCACCCGGTCCTTCCTTCACTCCTCCCTCTGGGCCGGGTCCTGCGCTTGGCTGGGGTCCGGCTGCAGCGGTGCACCGGGCAGGAAGGCAAGGTACCCTCTCTGGGGCTGGTGGGGGCCGCGTCCCCCTTTCTGCCGCGCGCCCAGGCCGGCTCCCTCCCCACGTTCCTGGGACCTGGTTTCGCACCGGTCCCAGGTGCGAGCGCCCCTTCCGCTCCCCTGGATCTTCCCTGCGGGTCAGGCGGGGACTCCCAGGGCCGGAGGCGCGAGTGCCCAATCCCTCCCCACGCAGCACAAAAGGGGAAGACTGGCAAACTTTTCTCTCTCCCCACCGGGCCGGCTGCGCGGGGAACCCCGCACGGCTTGCTCCGGGCGCGGACCGAGGCTTCCCGGCATTTCATCATCACAGGCAGCCGCCGGAGCTCGGCACCCGTGGGGCGAGGGCCGGCCCCCACTCCGAGCGCCCACGGCGGAGTAGACCGTGAGGACGCTGGGACTCCAACACACTCGAGCTCCGCGAATTACGCCCCTTGTCCTTTTCTTTACCCACAAGGCCACGGCCAACACATCGTCCCTTCTCTCCCCACGGCCTTGCCTTCCCTTCCCTCCTCCTGGTCCTCTCTCCCACCCCCCGCGGGGCCCCTTTCCGCGCTCTGCTCCGCTGGGCCACCTTCCCAGTCCGCCTCCCTGCAGGCAGCCCTGCGCCCCCGGTCCCGGGCGACACCTCCCCCGCGTCCAGCTCTCCTCCGTTCGCTGCCTCTGGCCCATTTCTGCCTGGCCTCCCTTGAGAACTGGGACTCTCCCCACGCCCGTGGGGTGTGGGGGTGGGAAAGGGGTTACTAGATTCCGGTTTCCCCGACTTCGTCATCTTCCCCAGCTCGGGAGCCGCGCCCCCTAGTCGCCCGTAGGCCCGCGATTTCACCGCGCGGTTCTCCAGACCCTCTTGGGCTCGTCAGGCGGCCAAGTTCGCCCCGACTTGCCCTCGCCGCAGCCCACACCTCCCGCCGCTGCCCGGCCGGGCGAGGGCACTTACCCGAGGTGCGGCTGGCGGGGTGTGGGGTGCGCACGGAGCAGCACCAGCGGCGCCAGGAGGAACCAGAGGAGGTCGGGCTGAGCGGCGCCTCCCTCCCGGCCCGCAGCGCGCCCGGCTCCTGCGGGGCCCCAGCAGAGCCCCAGGACAGGAGGCGAGGCAGCCACGCGAGCAACAGCTGCCGCCGGCCTGGGCTGGATCCAGCGCCCAGGGACCGGGCAGAGGCAGGCAGGTTCGGCAAAGATGGTAGGAGAAGTGGGGCGCAGAGGGCGGGGCGGCGTGCAGCCAGATCGGGAGGAAGGGCCCGGGGTGCCGAGGGATGCCGCCGCCCGGGCTGAGGCCGCCGGCCCCTATCCAGGCGCGGTCGCACGGCCTCGCTGGCTCCGCGCTCGCGGCCGCCGGCACCCTCGGTGCGCCCCGCTTTGTGCTCGGCGCAGCCGGCGTGCACCTGGTGTAAGCAAAGACGGTCAGCTGACGGGCGCGCGCCGATTGGCTGCTCCGCCGTCTCCCCCACCCGGAGCCCCCGCGGCCCCCGCCCCCGCCCGGCTCCGCCGCGTGCTGGGCACCATCTGGGGCCGGCCCAACAAAGGCGCAGCGCGGGGCTCCGTGGCCCGTGCGCCGCCCCGGCAGGGAGCAGCGGGCCGCCGCTTTTTGTCTGGGGCACGACGGGCTGCGGCTGGGCCAGGAGGCAAAGCGCTCCGCCGTTTCCCGGCAAAGGGCAAACAGGCGAAAAAAGGGCCTGTGCCAGGGGGCCCGCGAGGCACAGTGGGGCCAGCCCTCTGCGCTACGTGCCACCTCCGCCTCCTTTCAAAAGGCACGGTGACTCCCGGGGCTGCGTGTACATGCCTGGGCGCGACCCGCGTGGCCGTGGAACTGGCCCGCGCCCTTGCCGCCCGAAGGGGTATTCCATGGATGGCGAAGCTCTCAGATGCGTTTTCTGAAACTTTGTAATTACAGCCTCTGATTTGTTAGGTGTGAAAGTTGTGTTTGGATAAGCGGAGGGTGGAGACTGCAGTCTGTTTGGAGTGGGCGGGTGTGGAGAGCAGAGGATGGGGATGGGCCCACGGAAACAGCCTCCAAGGGGCTGGTGGAGGGAGAGCCAGGCTCCGGAGGAGCCCTGGGCGCTGTCACTGCGGACTCTTTCCAGCCGCTGCGTCGTTGACCTCTAAGCACTGAACAGCTTCGGACAGGAGAGTGCGGGGACATCTCTTCACCATGCCCCAGCTCAGAACTTCTGGGAGATTTGGACGGGTGCACATTACACAGTCCTCTTTGAGTTCCTCCAAGACAGTGGGAATTTAACCCAACCAAACAATGGCCTTACAGTTGGATCCCTGTGGCATTTTCTGGTGTCTTTCGTAGGTGGCTGATAAACATCGGATGTTCCTGTGTGTTTGTCTGGTTGATGCCATCCTGAAACTGTCGGAGAGACCCCAGGGCAGGGGTGTCCACCCCGGGGCCCAGATTGGCTATGAATGTGGCCTAACTCGAAATCGTGAATTTACTTAAAACATGATGAATTTGCGTGTGTGTGTGTGTGATTACATGTCACACTATATTTAATGTGTGGCCCACAGATGCCACCAGCTGGGCACCCCTCCTAGAGGAAGAAGATACCGTGCTTCAGGCTGCGGGGGGCCAAAGAGGAGGACCCCTCCCAGAAGGCCCTTTGCAACGAGGGGGCGGGTGCTGCCCAGGAATAAGGTGAAAGGGCTTCCCGAGCCAGTGGAGGCCAGACCCTCCCCAGAGTCCCACTGTGGTCTGTCCCCTTCTCCGTGCTGATCACATGGGTTTGGAGTTTGTCGGTGAGAAGGTAGACCCCGTGGCAGAAATCCTGACCTTGAAAGACCGGGAAAAGATGGATCACAGGTTTCTCAGGGTGTCTCCTGTGGGCCTTCCAGCCTGTCTTTCTGGGAGTGGGGTGTCGACTGTGCGCCGGGTCCGTGGTGGGGATGGGTGGGCAGCTGGAGCAGGTAATGGGGGTGGGGAGCTACTCTTCGGAGCAGGTGAGCTCTGTAAAGTCTCCAGGTTTGGGAAGACACTTCATGGAAACGGGATGAGGCCCAGCGAAGAAGCAGCAGCCAGGTCAGCCTGGCCCGCCGTGCTAGCTGGTCTCCCCTCCAATGAGTCTCTGAGCTTTGAAACCGGGCAGGTCATTCTACACTGTAAGTCTGTTTCCTTGGCTGTAAAGTAGGGTTAATAACAGTAGCTGTTCTGAGGGGTTGTGCTGCTTAAAGAGAGAAAGCATGTAAAATACTTAGTGCAATTTTTATTTCTGTTTTTTTTGTTGTTGTTATTGTTAGCCAGGTGGGGGAGGCAAGGGAGGGGAAGGCCCAGGCATAGAAACGCAGAGCAGAAGGGACCCGCCCCCTCGGGCACACATGGCTGTCGACCCCCTACCGTGCACCCACAGCGGTCTCTCACCTGCACTCGGGTCCCTCTGTGTTCACGCACTTACGGCCCCCAGGCGCTCCGGTTCTTTAGAACATGGCACTAGCTGGCTCATGCACAGTCCCACCACCTTGATTCACTGTGCGTTAATGGACTCTAGCCCTTAGTCACTGTGGTGTGTTGCCCTGCGGTCAGATGGGACAGAACTGTGGTCACACCCTGGCCAGATGCAGTGTGGTGCTTGGCGTGTAGGAAGCACTTGACAAATGCAAGCACTTGGCCTTATTAGCCAGGTAGAAAAGGCTGAGGCGAGACGACATCAGGTCAGACAGGGGGGCGGATGAGTTCACAGAACGGGCAGATGACGTCATACCTGACAGGCAGCGGCAGCGCCAGTGGGCGGCACAGGCGGTCCCCCCACCGCCCCTTTATTGAAAAGCCAGCCTACCTCTTCTTTACACTGACTTCTCTCCTTCCCAAGGTGAGGGTGAGAATGGAAGGCCTGCCTGTTTCCTGCCATCGCCGCGTTTCTCTGGCTCTGGATAGAGGAACCTGTCACTAGAAAGAGGGTCAAGGGCAGAGACGGGCGTGGTCAGAGGTGGGCGGGGCTTGGCGGGAGGGGCGGAGCTGTGCCCTGGAAGGGTTGCTATGGGTCACAGGTGGATGCCCGCAGGCTGGGGCTTTAGGAAGGAGTCTGAAATTCGATCCAGTTTTTGGAAACAGGAGGAGCTGCCAAATGGTTCATTGGTCCCCACTTTTAGGGACTGCTATGTTATACCTCTGCAAAGGCGTTTCTTGATCATTCTATCCACCGTCGCTTTCAGAAGCACTTTGTCACTGGGGCGAATGAAGGGGAAACAGCCAGTCTGCCGTCCAGGAAACTCAGCCAGACTCTCTGGTGTCTGTTTTAGAATCCTCCAGTCTGTCCGAGTCACTCCCAGCAAGCCCACCAGGCCGGTGCTGTGGTCCTGACTGCATTCGTCGGGAATGGCTTCATGTTCACCGTCGTTTATTTCCATCCCTGTGGAAGATGGTGGGGGCTTCGCAGGAGAGTGGAAGCGGGTAGGAGGGCCCGAGGGGCCCCAGGAAAGCGGGGTGCCCTGACGACAAGGGAGGATCGCTCCCTGGAGCCAGCCACGTGGGGACACTACGGTCCCTCCCGGCTCCTCACTGCCTCCACCCCCTTGAGGTTCTTCAGCTTCAGTCTGAAGCAACATTATAGCTGGTGTTCGCCTACTTGTACTGTCTGTGCGGTGAATGAAGGGGAAAAAAGAAAAAGGAATATAGGGTCTCGTGTTAGAATAGTGTTTAAAGGAACATCTGCACTTTGAGAACAGAATTATAATATTGCCATTTAAAACCACATTTTAAAGAACTAAAACATATGTCTCTCTCTAATGGAAATATTAACAGGGTGCCGGCAGTGAGTGTGCTGTGCAGACTTGGAATTAATGGCACAGTTTCAAAGCACCCGCCGCCGAGCTCTGAGGGGAGGATGAGGCTGCGGTCCATCTGTGGGCTCACACTGCCCGTGTCTTTCTGAGCATGTTTCACAAGTGAGTGTGTTTGCTCCATCGTTCGTCCATCCGTCCTGTTCTTCTAGTTCTGTGCTGCGTTCAAACTCGTTCCAGCACAAAAAAGCCTTTGGCGGAGGATTCTGTAATTAACCTGATTTCAGCGTTTACCAATGTCCAGTCATTTGGCATGAAAGTCGGGAGACCCACCACCCCGTGCGCCTGGGACTCTGGGTTTCAGTGCTGAGAGCCTCGGGTCTCAGGCAGCCGCGCAGCCCCCGGGCCCGGCAGGGCCTGCTGCTCCAAGTGGCGGGTGCAGGGAGAGGGCAGTGGTGCCCATGTGCCTGTCACTAAGTGACAGCCTGCACCCACCAAAGGTGTCCTCGTGCCTGGCTCGGAATCCTGTTTCCCCCTCACAGAACTGAACTGCTGCAGAGCCTTTGACACCATCAGGCCCACCTCCTTTTTTACGGATAAGGAGACTAAGCCCGAGAGAGGGGCCCTGCCAGTCTGTTGAGAAAGCCCTCACTAGAGAGCTAGAATCCACAGTCGTCCGCCCCTATCCACGGGGGACACGTTTCAGGATGAACCCCCCTCCCCCCAGTAGATGCCTGGAACCGCGGGTGGTATTGAACCCTAGACATGCTCTGCATTTTCCTGTGCACACGTACACATGAGAAGGTTCGCTTTATAAATTAGGCACAGTAAATGGTTAGCAACGGTAACTAGTGATACAATAGAACAGTTATAACGACACACGGTGATCAGAGTTATGTGGATGTGGTATATGGTCAGTCTCTCTCTCTTTCTCTCTCAGTCAGTATCTTATTGTACCGGACTCGCTTTTTCACTTAAAGGAAGCCCTTCATGACGTTTCTCTGGAACGTCTGACTTGCCCGTGACACTGGGCTTGCGCTTGGGGACCATTGTGAAGTAAACTCGGGGCAACTTGAAAACGTAAGCGCAGGGGCTGGAGGTTCATCCGATTGCCGGGGAGGCTGCGGAATGACTGACCGGTCACCAGGGCCCACAGAGCGGAGAGCGGGGACTGGGGACGAAGGGCTGAGTCGGTCACGGCCCGGGCGGGCACAGTGGGACCGGTGGCGTGAGGTTTCATCACGCCCAGCTGAGTGGCAGTCCGCTAAGAGTTACAAAGTGTTTATTTCTGGAGCTTCCCATGTAATGTTTTTGGTGGGTCGGAGGCACCGGAAGCTGTGGAAATGGAGACCAGGGGGAGTGGGGGGCCAGGCCCTCGCTGAGCACCCGGCATGTACTCGATGGCTCAGCAAACATCTTTCCAATGCATACATTGAATCAATCAATACATGAGCATCTTTATGTATTTCAATACATCAGATATCATGAGCATTTTATTCACAGCATTAAAAAAGTCTTTGAAACTATAATGCTTCATGGCTGTATAATTCCATCCCTCTTCTGCTGGCAAGAAATAAGGCCTTTATCAAATGTTTTCTATAATATTATAGTAAGTGCAGTTATCAGA